GGGAGCGCCGCGCAGCCCGCGGGCCAGGCTGTCATGAAACACCTTCTTGGGGCAGCTCGGTGCAGTCCCCGGTAGCTTTGGGAAGAAGCGTTTTCAGTTTGACGATGTGATTTCGGAAGAGTTCAGTTTTTCATAAAGTAGAAGAGTTATAAAAGTCTTTGTGAGCCATCTTTCTTGGAGTCGCAGAAATAAATTCTCTTATGTTTTGAATTAGGAGATATGAATTCTCTTGTATTCATTTTCTTTAAGTTTTTTAAAAGGTATAGTTTCTGAAGATATGTTAGATATTTACGGTGGGATCATACATCTTCAAATGACATTGGAATTCTCTGTTAAGTGCGCTACAAATGCCCTGGCAAACATCTCAAGGCAACTACTAATATATAGATCATCTGAACTGAAGTAAACTTTCTGAACTCTAGTATTATGAAATCTCAGCAGAGCTGTTCTGAAGACCTTGTGGTCACTTTCCGTTTTGGCGGTCTCAAACCTACATGGGATTTTTATTTATTTGAAATGGCAGAATCTTTATTTCAAGCTTAAAAGGCTTTTGAAAACACGGAGATAAAGTTGTTGTGCGCACAGTCTTAGCGCATTGACATGAGTTTTTTATCCTCTGAAAAGGTACTAGTGTCACTAATTTATACTGCTTTAAATTACCATACTAAGTCATCTTAAGTTTTTAAAAACTAAGATTAACATTGAACTTTTTTATAGCCATGCAAGAAACGGCGAGAGGAAGACACTTCTGTAAAAACGATCACAAGATATTTTTCACCGTTAGCAAAACCAGTGGATAAAGTGTTGTCACTACCAAAATCCAACAATATATTGGATTATTTTAAAAAGATGAAACCTACATTACCAGTTGTAGCTGGAGAAAATAAAACACCGTTGGATGCTGGTGACAAAGACTGTAAGTCACCTTTTAAACCACCTTTAAAGCGGAAGAGGAAAGGTAAGAGAGTTAATTTAAATAATAAGCTAAAAGAGATGAAAGAATCTGAGAATGAACATGAAATAGAAATTAGTAGTGATGACAGCAGAGAAACAACAGGACTGAAACAAGACAGTAATGATTTTATTGCTACTTGTACTTTAGTTGACCAAAAATGTGTAAGAGAATTAGCAGAAGATAATGTGCAGAGCGAGAACTTCTCAAATGCTGTCATCTACAGAAAAAATGTGAAGAAAGTTGGTTCTGAAATAAATGGAACAAAAAATAGGATAAGAAAATCAAGGAAAAGGAAGCACAAAGTAAATATGGATTTGTCTGACAGTTTTTCATCTGAAAACCAGCTGAATGAAAAGTGTAAAAAGGAAATTGAAGATAAGAAAAAGATGATATCTCCTACAATAGCAGAGTGCGACACTACTATTAGTGACTCCAGTTTTGAAGTTCATATGGATGACAAGACATCACAGGTAAATAATAGTATAATAACAGTGTCATTTGAGGACTTCTTGAAGAGTCAGGGAGAAAATAATGTAGATCATGTTGAAGAAGACACAAAGCCAACAATGGACAATTCTGCTACAGCAAATGAAATGGACAAAAGTGATAGTATTAGCGACCCAGAAAAGTGTGAGGAATCTCAACAGCTACCACTTAGAACAGTAACTGTCCTTGCACAAGTTCATTCCGTTCCCCCAAAATTAGCTCCTTTACATAAGGAGCAAAAAGGCTCTAGGAAAATAGCTTCCATTTTTTTGAAGCAGAAAGGATGTGTAGGAGAGAAAGAAAGTAGCCCACCCCTCTTGGACAGTGAACAAATTGAACAGGTTACTCAGAAAAGAAAGTCTAATGTAGTTATTGAGGAAGAAGAATTAGAGTTAGCTGTACTAGAGACCGCAGGGTCAGATTCTTTGAAGCCAAAATGTACTCTGGAAGAAAGGCATCAGTTTATGAAGGCGTTTAGACAACCAACATCAGATGTAATAAAAAGTGGCGTTAAAAAGGCACCTGGGAAACAAAAGCAAGCCATTGGAAAGTCTTCAAAAGAAAAAGAAGGACCTGAAGCTGACACTGCTTCAAATAAAGGATTAGGAAGTGGAGTACCAGAAGATTATGTGGACAAATATACACATTCTAGTCCTGAAAACAACAGAACTAAAACCAAAAGACCTAAAAAGTTTCAGAAAAAAGGAACCAGAAGAAGAAAGGCTTCAGAAACTAAAGAAATGAATATCTCAAATACTAGCAATTATAATGAAGATGAGGATTCAGGAGCTAATGTTCTTACGAAGAAAAACACCTTAGATGTAAGAACTTCATCAAGTCCAAAAGTGAATAAGTTAAGGAGGAGTTTAAGGCAGAAGAAAATCAAAACATCAAAAAATATTACACCTCAAAAAAACAGGATTAGAAATACCTTTTCTGAAGATGAATTAAGTGGCTGTCCTTTTCAGACTTCTACACCAAAAGCAAGCAAGCGATCCTTGAAGAAAAGCAATGTGTATAAAGCCGAGATGATTACAGTGCCCTTTGATGGAAACAGCCCAATAAGGTAAACATTTTAAGAGTGTATTCTACCTTTCTGCACTTCGTTTTCCTGCAAGTACTTTAAGAGTAAGACATAATTATAAATTGATTGGAATGCATACCAAAGCTGCATGAATACTGATCATGTTGGATAATAATACAGAAGAATCAAAGTTGACTCTATAAATGTGCTTGCACTAAAAACATTTTAAAAAAACCCAACACACCACCAATTGGGGGGTTGCTTCTGTTTGCAGCACTATTTTTAAAGGCTTTTGAAAATGAGATTGAGAGTAACATTTCCCTTTATTAAAAAGTAGTAACTTCATAATACTTTTTTCCCTAATTAGAATGAGGTTTACACGTATCAGTGCGACTACAAAATCAAATAAAGCTGAAGCAATGAAAAATGAAGAGTTTAACTCCAAAAATATAAAGGTAATTTATGTAACAGTTTGTGTTTCAGTATTTTCTCATTTACTATATGCATATAACTGTGCTAATATTCAGTGTTATGTGATAGTCTCATGTAATACAATATGACAGTTCTCAGATGCCCTACGGAAAGAGAATATCACTGTGATTTATGATAGAATTTGAGATAGCTTCTTGTACAGTTATCGTACCTTAAATTTTAAAATATGTTTTATTAGTGTAAATCTACTTTTCATAACAGAAAAATCCAATAAAACGGTATGCTCATGTTCTGCAGGTTCTCAGGACAGGACATAGTGTTTGGGTACAGCAGAACAACTCATTCTTAAGAATGTCACTACCCATATTTCATTTGTTCTGAGGACAAATTGGAGGATCCCCTTATAGAGCTCTCACTCCCCTTTGAAAAGTATTTATATCGTCTTGGTTTGCTCCTCCTTTCCATTCTTTCATCTTCTGTTTGATACCAATAAAATTTTATAAAAATCATATGCTTTTATGAATGTGAAAAATTATATTAATATGTGAAATACCTAGTAATTAATAGCAATATATTTGGTAAGTATTTTGGTTCTTTTGTACTTTGTTAACAGATAAGCTCTACTTCTAAAAGTACTTCTACTTCCAAAGCGAAACAGCTGATTGAAAAAGCAAAGGCTATACGGCATAATAGATCAAAGGTTAATGAAGACTTACCAACTCCTGTGAGGCGCTCATCTCGACAGCGAGCTCTTGCTGAAAAGAAGAAATTACAAGAAAATGAAGTAAGCCTGTATACTTTGTAGGGGGAAAAACAATTATTTTATGTTTTTGTGATTCATTTAAGCAACAAAAATGTTTTTTATCTCGCAAACAATTCTTTTAAAGAATCAAATAAGGTAGGTATCTTATGCAGTGGTATGGTAAATGTCCAATAGTAAAATAACTGCCAGGCACAGACTGGAAAGCTCATCCTAATGCAGATCTATAAAATGCAGCGCATGGTCACACTTCAGAAGTGACTGTTTCTCTTTCCTAACGGACAGCAAGGTGTCTGTTTCAAATGTGTATGTTTTAGACATTTAAACTTAGATTAGAGTAATTCTGGCCTTCATTTATATATTGGAGATCTTATTCTGTATACTATTTCAGTGTAGACAACAGTAATAAAAGTCTTGTATAATCTTCAAATTATATTTGCTAACTTCTAAGCTGTCTAGCAGTTTCTTCAGCTTTTTCAGTACTGATCACAAAATTGTATTGTTAATAAAGGAGGAAAAGTTGTGTTTCCTTTCTTATTTTATTTGCTTTTCCTCTAGGAATCGGTAATAATTTTAGATTCAAGCCTGAGTAATGCCACTACTACAGTGCAGAATGTGAAGCAAAAGAATCTTCGGAGCTTAAATGATGTTTTGGGGAAAAAGTCTAGAAACTTGAAGGCTGCAAAGAACTCAAATGGTAATTGAGCTTTACTGAATGTGTTTAATTTTTATTACAGTTATTGACTATTATAACTTTATTTTATAAAGCTGCCTTTGCAGTACATTCATCTTTTCTGTTTTTTTGTATAATATTCCAATATATACCTTTTATTTTTATGATATGAGTTAATAGTGCAGAGGTTATTTATATGTGCTGCTTTGATTTTTCTTCATACAGGGAAAACTATGTTTGTTTGAAAAACTGCCAATAGTATACCATGTTTTGTTGCCTTCTAATTTAAGGGTTGGGGTTTTTTGTAACGTTACAGAAAATAACGTCTATAGTGATGAAATAACTAGAAATAAAACTATAATTAGTTTTTTTAAAATACTCAGCTTTCCCTTAAGAAAAGGAGATTCCTAATGTTATTAAATGGAACATACAGATAGCGAACAGAGAAGCAAGGTTAGAATCCTATATCAGTGCTATTCTAATCATGATTTTTTTTTTCCTTTTTGAAGGAAAACTGGGATATCCACCTTCCTTCCTAGGCAGAAATGCTCAAAGCTCTGCAGGTGAACCAATTGTGATCTTCGATGAAAGCAGGTTAGTTTTCAAGATTGCAGTTGCTTAAGAATCAAAATATATTTCTAGGTTACTTTAACATTCTCTCATTTTACAAATTTAAATACACTTACTGAAATGTGATATAAATGTTCATGGTTTTTATACTGATTAATATGTTAATCTGCTTGCAAAATTTTGGGGGTTTTTTGGAGAGTTCCTCAACCATTGTTGAGCCGTTTTAGATGGTTGAAAATGTAGTTGATGACTGATTAAAAAGAAATCCTAAGTTACATATAAAAATACAATACCAAAGAGGATTATTTTTTTAAAATTAAAATCTCTAACACAAAATTTAAAATTAAATGTAAACTTACTACATTTAAATTAATTTAGCAGTTCTCCCAGACTATTTCTAGCTTGTGTGTAGAAGTGAATGTGATTAAATTCTGTTGTAAGCCTTACATAGCTGGTAGTTCTAACGTGTTTTGGTTTTTTTTTCTTGTTTTGGTTTTTTTTTATTTCTATTTTCATTAAAGCCAAGACGCATCTGAAAATTCTCAAGATGATGATCAGTTCAGAGCAAAACGTGAATTCTTGATGAGTGGGTTGCCAGAGTCACTGAAAAGACAGATTGCAAAGAAAGCAGCAGCGATGGAAGCGTACTCTCTTGCAAGTTCATGTTTTAAGACTGTTGTCCATGTACAGCAGAAGGATGACTGTAAGCTTTTGTTCAGCCATTGTGTAAATGTATATATTAAGTTCTAGTAAATCTGTGCAGAAAAGAAAAAACTTGAACAGCAGAACTTACTATTATGACTCGAATAACTGGTAGTTTCCTCTTGGTTTGTGTCGCAGTAAGAAAACAAAACTTACAAGCTTCCAGTGAGATGTTTTTGAATACACAATTTACAAATTAAATTGATGGTAAAGTAATGTATACATTTATGGATGAGGATGCAAAATTCTTAATATTTAGTTTAAAAAGTTAGTCTTTCAAGTTCCAATTTGGAGAATAAAGATCATGTTGGACTGATAGGGGCAGAAACCATTTCCTTCTGACAAAGGCAAACTATTTCTCAAAAGAGAAACAGCCCATTTCTTTCCACTAAGTGAGGGAGTGTGCTACAATGCGCTTATGAAAGGGCGTGACAGAAAAGCAGAAGGTAGAATAGCACTTAACAGAGTTTATATTTGCAAACCAACCAATAAACAAACAAAATCCTTGGTGAGCATCTGTCCTACAGAGACCCAATGAGGGCACAGGTTGTTATGTAGAGCAAGCAGAGCCCGGGAGGAACGTACTGGAGAAGTGTTGTATGCAAAAATGTGCAAATTTGTTCTGCTTGTGGGAGGTGGAATTAATAAAGATAAAAAGTTGATGCAGTTTAAGTTTAATAAGCTTGGCTTTGACATGATAAAGCTGTAGTTAAAAGCATTTACTCTTATTTACTGTAGGGTGGTTTTGTCTGTGACTGTATCTCTGTTTTGTTAACAAAAGTTTCCTCTTGTTTTGTTTTTGGGGTTCTTTTGTAGGTTATCCAATGTGGAAATTGAAATCACCATTGTGTCCTCTATTAACTAAGCTAAGGAAACTGAATACTGAAGTCACTAACGTCACTAAAATCACTCTCTCACTTGGTGAATTTTCCACTGTGAATTCAAAACTAACTGGAAACTGTTCTGCACCTGTGGTTAGTACTTTAAAATGGGGGCTTGTGTTACAAGAAAAAGGAAAAGAAAATTGAAATTATGTTGTTACTTGTTAGGACTTCTCTTGTTTTAAAAAATCCTGTAGTTTAAATGTATTTCAGTCCTGGCTTTTCCGCCCCCCCC